GTGAAGCAAAAGACAGCTGAAGTATTTAGTGATCGTCAAAGTGCAATATATTTGACAAAGAACCAGATGTTCTATGAGAGAACAAAGCATATAGATATTAGGGTTCATTATGTCAGAGAAGTGATTGCACAAGGAAGCGTCATAGTGGAGAAAATTAATATAGAAGATAATCCAGCTGATATGTTTTCAAAGGCACTTCCTTCAGTCAAGTTCAACAAGTGTTTGAATACTCTTCAAGTATCAAGGTGTGAAGACGAGAAGTTAATTAAGGAGACTTTGTATAGAGATGGCAGTCTCAAGGTGGAGATTGTTGATAGTTGAGACAGATCTTTATGGGTGACGTGGCAATAAAAGTCTAAGAGGCAATACAAAGAAAGCTCCCTACTCTTATGTGGCAGTTAGCGTTTTGTTTTAATTTTCTTTAGGAATTGCTCAGTCGGTGGTATTGTACAACTTGTGCAATAAATACCGAATGAGGAATATGAGTTGTTTAGATTTTTATTTTTTCAGATTGGGTTTTCCTTTTGCTGTTCTAGTGAGAGAAACAAGAAGTTAGAGAAAGAAAAAGTGAGAAGAAGAAATCGAGAGAACAAAATATCAGTGAGGATAGAATTTATGGTGGTCTGGGATTTGCTCTTGTTTCTTGGCTCTTGTATTATTCTATGACTTGGAATAAAGTTCAGATTTTCTTAGTTGTTCTCGGTTGAAAAGACATCCCCAATTCTCTGTGTTCTTGCAATTAGTTTTGAGTGTTGAATTGCTTGGTTGGTCCGGTAAATCAAGGTTAGAGGAATTGGTTCGATTTCCTCACACATATAAATAAATTGAATTTTTTAATAAGTAAATTAGGTTTTTATTAGGTAATCTTTTGTTTATCCATGCATCATCAAATTTGATAAATTTAGTATTTACTTGATGAATATCGAATTTACATCCTGACATGATCAAATTTGATAAATATGAGATTTACAAAGTCATGATCATAAAATCAGATAAATTTGAGATTTATGATAATCACCTCCATGAAACTCTAAATTATATACATTTTTCTAATCCATAATTTTTATTTTGCATGATATTAAATAATTTTTTTATTAATAAATCATTTTGTTACCCTTCGAAATCGTCTTTTAAAACTATAAGATATTTATTAACAATTAGGAAAAATACCATAAAAATTAAAAAAAAAATTATCAACTACAATTTTTAAAAAATAAATCCGAGTTCACTATGCCAACTATCTCATTACTGCTATTTACTTCAAATATTTTAGAATATGCTATTTACAATAATTTTCTAAAGGGAAATTGTAGTAAATAACATATATTTTTTAAACTAAATTTAAAAAAATAATAGATTTTAAAATTATTTGAAGTAAATAGTAGTTTATGTGATAAATGAATCATTTACACGGTAACAATTGGTAAAAAAGAACTTATGTGATAAAAAATATTTATTTACATGGACAAAATTATTTTTATTAGTTGTAAAATATTTTTACTAGCCATAAATGAACCACTTACCATGTAAACTGTTATTTATTTTAAATAGTCTTAAAATATGTTATTTATTTAATTTAGTTTTTATTACATTCTCACTTTTTTGAACAAAATGTTTAAGATTTAGTCCAATGCTATTGGACCCTAAACCCAAAAGAGATGAAAAAAGGGTAATCTTGATAAATATTTGTTAAAAGTGTATGAGTCGGAATTTTTATTTTTTACTTTTGATTCATAATCTTTTTAGTTAAATAATTACACTAATAAAATGATATTTATCAAGAATAATGAATAAAAATTTAAACTCATGCACTCTTAAGAGTAAATTTTGTAATTTTCTAGATGAAAACGGATCTTGATCCTAAGGCCAAGGGGCCATATTTACAAGATCAACTGCTTCCTCGAGTTCATCTTTTCCTTTCTGTCTTCCTGCATGCATTCTGTTATTTGGTTTTTTATTTGGTAGCAAAAGGAAGAAAAGCAAAATTTCTATCACTAAAATAAGTGCACTCTTTAATAATGACAATTTTTAATATAACCTTTCCATATGGGTTTCAATCTTTTTAATCAAAGAATGGGATTTAGATGGAGCTTTCCTAATATATAAGAGCAATGTCCCACCACAATCTTTTTATTGCTCGTTCTTTGGCTCTTTTTCCAGGTGTAATGCACAATCCCAATTCAATCCACGCACAAATGACATTTGGTCATTGTCATCCTTGACACTAAAGCAGCTTTTTGTCCAATTTGTTAACTCATGCTCATGTCTTTGGTTAGGTTGTCTGGTGTGCCATAAGCCCTTTTGTTTCTCCTACTTTCTATGCATTTTTTATTATATAATTGCTTTCTGTATGACATGTTAGACCATGGGTTTATAAAAAAGAGTGATACTATATAATTTTGTAGTCAAGTTGAAAATTGAAATAACCCACATGTAAAGTTTCTATGAACATGATTTTAGATGTACATATTATGAGTTTGTGGGCTGCTTGTGATCAGGAGTACTTTGTTGAGAATTGACTGTTTACTTTTAGTCTAAAGGGGTGTTTAGTAGATGGATCCGAAATCATAATTCTGAATTCTGATTCAGAATCAGTGTTTGTTTACAGTGATTTTGAATCATGATTCAGAATCAGTATTTAGTTTGGATGATTCTGAATCATAATTCAGAATCTGATGTGATGTTTTAAACCAGAATCACTCATGATTCTAAAACCACCATCCTCTTGATTCAAAGTGATTCAAACTCATAATTCTGAATCATGGTTTCATAATCATGATTTGAACTTAAAATCATGAATCATGGTTTGAACTTAAAATCATGAATCATGGTTCTACTTTCAGAATCATGATTAGAATCACTCTGGTTTAAATTCTCATAGCAAATGAACCCTAAGTACTTAGACACAATATCATGAATTGATTAACTTTTAGGGGACCTTTACTTTGCATAAAGGAAAAGAAAAAGTGAGTGACTCTCCTTTCTATCCATAGTGTGTTTACTTAAAAAAAGTAATGAAGATTAAGTGTGTCCAACACAATATACATAATAAGAAAATAGAATGGCAATCCTTAAATCCTTCTTAGTATTGATTCTCTGTTAAAGGAATTAATGAATATCAAATTTAATTATCTATCCTTAATGAATTAAAGAATATAGTCAATGATTATTTAATTATATAAAAAGACCTTTTAATAATTACATCGATAATATTCTTCTTGTTAATTTTAGTAAACACGATAAAGGGAATGAAATTGTTTTCTGTTATTCCATCTAATAGTCAGGTAAACACTTAAAAAAAATTAATGATTCTTATTCCTATTTCTTTAGTGTTCTTTCTAATTTCATTACATTTCCTATTACATTCCTTTTTTATTTAGTAAATACGCTTTAGTGTTTTGAGTGACTTGTTAAAGGGTTGAAATGGCACTAGATACTGATCAAGAGCACATTGGAATTTCTAATTCTTTGCTTAGAAATTTATAGAGAAAATGTTAACCAAAAAAATATTAGAACCGCTAGTTTTCCTTGTAAAGGTTTTGCCTCAATCATCTTTTTTTTTTCCCCACAATCATGCAATTTAATATATTTTTTTTAATTTCATTCTTTAATTTTAGTATTATTTTTTGTTTCATGACAAATTCTAAGGAGAATTATACAGTAAGACGAAAAAATTAAAGTATCGATAAGTTTCATTTTTAATTGACAGATTTGTATAAAAAAATTATTTGTTATTTTATTGTGCATATTTTATTTTGATATGATTTTGACTAAATTCAATGATAAAAAAGTATTGAGATCTTGCCATAGAAGAACCTTAGAATAAATGCAGAATTATTGTCAATGTCAATGATATCTTTTTTCTTTCTTGCCACAAAGATGGGGAAATAAACCTTTCAAGTTCTTGTCCCAACTGTCATTATTCTTCAAATTATTTTAATTTTGAGATTCAAATAGTGTCCTTGTCAGATTAAGATGCTAAGGTATAAAACTAAACGAATAATTAGCCAAAACATGTGATCTTTTCTTTTACTCCTTTCTCCCACGAGTTCTTCCAGATTCTTCCGTCGCAATTTTGCTTTCAGGGTAGGTAAGAGCTTCTATTAAATAATGCATTTAAATATTGAAACTTCTGTTTTCTATCTCTTTTTTATCCAAGTTCTCATGCTAAGAAAAAAAATAATAATTCTAGTAAAATATGAAAAAATTAGTCTACTAGTAAACCACTTTTTTTAAATCAAAATTGTCCGGAGTAGTTTTGCATATTTTATTGTATGTGATATTAATTTACCGCAATGCAATAAAATTGGAAAAATAAAAGCAAATCATGATTAAGTAAAAGTCTCAAAACTTAGAGAGGAAAATTGAACTTTAATATTCAACATCTTAATAATTAAGTCTATTTTTTTTTTAAAAAATCCTAATCTAATCATTCACATTTATTGATGTGAGTATTTATAATTCACTCATAAAGCAACAATAAAATTCATATGATCAATTTTTTTAACAGTTAAATTTACGTATTTTTTAATTTTTATATGATTTTATACTAATTTTATAAATAAAAAATTAGACCTATTAATATAGAAAGCAACAATAAAATTCATATGATCAATTTTTTTAACAGTTAAATTTACATATTTTTTAATTTTTATATGATTTTATACTAATTTTATAAATAAAAAATTAGACCTATTAATATATTAACGTATTAGAAAAAATCTCTTAAAATAAATGATATAAAAAAATAGCTAAAATGTCCAGCATCATAGTAGTTAAAAAACAACCTCATATGTGAAAAATAGTGAACAAAAAGAAAATTATGGTGTTGTCGTATGCACCTTGACAAGTTCTATAAATAGTAAAAGTTATTATTGTTTAAAAGAAAATGAAAATCCATTGAATGTAGAACTCAATAATTTATACCACGTGTCAATTATCCACCAAGTAGTTTTGTGTGTGTCAGAAAAGCTTTCAGTGTCAGAGCATTATATTGTTCTTTCTTCATGTAACCAAAGCAAAGCAAGACGCCACACCACACCACACGACTTCAACCCCTATCAGATTCCACACTTGAGCTAAAGTTTTCCCCTCATAAATCATTTCATTTATACCCCTCCCAAAAACCCATTTCCCCCACACGTCGCCGGAAAGTTGACTCCATGGATGTTGACTTTTGGTCTTCGAGGGTTCACTCCGCCAAGCATTTCTCTGCTCCTCCCCACGCTTCCAGGCTTCACTCTGGTACTTGGATTTTCCGTTTTTGATCATGAAATGTACTTTCTGTTTATAAAGTTTGCTTTTTTCTTTGCTTTCTTGTGATGGTGAGTTTATTTTCTTTTTGGGATTTTGAGAGCTTATTATGTTGTTTAATTAGGAAATTAATGGCTTGTTTAATGAAATCTCTTTTTGTTAGGAGTCTTTTCGCGTTTGATGGATAATTATGGTTATAAAGAATGATTTCTGGTTTTGTATATCTCTTTAATTGTTTCTTAGAAGCCACTGATTGTCCACGAGATTTCAGGGGCTTTCACAGTTGTACTTATTTATATATTTATTTATTTTTTCTGTTTCTTTTCATCTAATTTATTCTTGAATGAACTAGTTTTACTTTTTGGGGTTTCCTTTGAGAATGAGCCACTTCACTTGAATCACCAATGTATAAATTCATTTTTGAGACAAATTCTGTAAAATGAATGTTGCATCCAATTCTGTGTATTTGAATATCATTTATGTTTCAGCTTGAATTTTAGATTCACATGTATGTAACATTTCTTCGAAATATCGGAAACAGATCGAAACTCGGCCTTAGATGACGCCGAAGATGAAGACCCAAAACCTTGTTTTCCATGCCCTTTCTGTTATGTGGATATAGAAGTTACTGCTCTCTGCATCCACTTGCAGGAAGAACATTGCTTTGACTTAAAAAATGCAGTAAGTGAAATTCCTAATCTGATATTTTCTTGAGCTAACTCCTCAAACATCATATCATTTGTTTCGGATTTGATATGAAGTTGATTTGCTATTGCTATTTCAGGTTTGCCCTCTATGTGCAGCAAATCTGGGGAAAGATGTAACTGGACATTTTATGGTTCAGCATGCAAGTTCCTTAAAGGTATAAATGCTGATTTTTGGTGTGATCATTTAGTACTTTTGATGTGTAACTCAATGGGGCAAATCTTTGGACCTAAAAGGAAACATTTGCACTTTTTCAGCACAGAAGAAAATCTCAAAAGTCTGGCTTCTGGACTAGTGGTTCAGCAATGCTCGGAAAGGAGCTGCGTAGAAGGGGAAGGGAAGACACATATGAATCTGCGCCTGATCCGCTACTCTCGCCATTTATCTGCACCTTATATGTCGTTGAACCTAAAGGCGTTCAGCAAGATGAATGTTCAGTCACCGATGCCCCGGTCACTTGTGATGCAAAAAGGTGTGCTCCTTTTTTTATAAGACGCGTCTTCTAAGATTCACTGATGAACCATATTCTTAAAGACTAAGGTCTTGTTTGGTAGGAGAGAGAGGTGAAAGGAGGGATAGAAATGGGAGGATTAAGGGATGGATTTTAAGACTTATTGTTGTTTGGTAGGAGGGACTATAGGAGAGAATGGACTAGGTGAGGGATTCAAAATTCTACGCATGATTCGAATTTTGATCATTCCATTGGAACGATTCGAGGACAGAATTAACACCAAACACAATAAGAGAAAGATTCTCTTATTCCTCTCCATTTTCCTCACCTAGGTTATATACGTTTCTTTTCTTCCTATTTTGTTTCCCCCTACTAAACACAGCATAGGAGTCTTAAGATCTAGTGGAACATATGTCTCCAACTACTTAGGAGCGATAATGAAACTTGGTAATGTGGGCCTTCCTAATATTTGTAAAAAGATAACAATTTTAGACACTTGATGCCTATGCCGAGGAGAAGGTTGAGAAGAAACACTCGTGGCCCGTTTGTTTTATGCGTTCAAGTCCTAGAACCAAATGGGCCCTTGGTGATTAAAATAATATAATAGGATTTCGATTCGTCCACTCTCATCCTACTTGCGTAAAGTCGCCTCCTTATCGTTCTGTTATCTCACAACTGAAGTAGAAAAAAAATCACAATTGTACCACTGTGATAAATATCTTTGAGTTCTTGACCTCACCGGAAAGTTCTAATGTGATTAGTTCAACTTTTTTGTCTTCAAAAGCGCAGGAAACTCCATGTAGGAATTGGCCTATTCTGTGCTTATAATTGATTCGGTTTTGTTTGTGCAGCTCCGAGCCATCTTCGCGTTGCAAAAAGGAAAACGAAGAGAAAAGGCAGAGGGCAACATTTGTGCAAGAGTTGATTGCCTCAACCATATTTTGAGATCTTCTTTGGCGCTTTAGGATTCTCAAAATGCAGCCACGGATGATGCCGTCTCAGCGGGTGTTTAATGTCAGCGGTTGTGTTTTGAGAAAGTTATATATAATAGATTATATACTAGGTACTTTAGAAGAAGAGTTGTCTTTGAATCTTTGAGCAAGGGCAATTTGTATTTATTCCATGTCTACAAATATATATATTTATATGTATCTACATCCATGTCAGTAGCTTATTTCAAAGCTGCTTTCTATAATCAGCAGAGTGATATTCGAAAATTAACTACACAGGTGTGTACTCTCTCTCTCGAGTGATTTTGTTTTTTGGATGAAAGATAAGAAAGTTGTTGCGCACTCAAGCTCTCTTCATAAGCTATTATGTAGAGATGCAAGAACGGTCTGACCCGTTCTGCTTAGGCCCAGGTGGGCCGGGCCGGTCTAGCCTATGAATTTTGTGGGCCGGGCCGGGCCGGCCCGTATAAGAATGATTTCGGCCTAGTTCACACCACAGGCCAATTTTACGTGGACCAGGTTGGGCCGTATCGTGAGTCAGGATGGGCCGTGTCGTGAGCCAGGATGGGCTTTGAATGAGCCTATCTTGGTTCATCATGGGTTTAGATGGGCTAGCTCATCTAAGCATGTAATTTTTAATTTTTTTTATTTTTTTATTTTTAAATTTTTAAACAAGTTAACAAATATAATAGTTAATGAAAATATGAAAAGAGATTTTATTTACGATTACCTTATTAAATTAAAAAGGTTTAAAAATATTTTTAAGAAAAACCCAATGAAACAAAATTTTGGTAAGGAAAAAAAAGTACAATCACGATAATTATATATAACATATTTACAAAATTATTAAAAAATAAAAAAATACATGAAGATATTATGGGCCTAGATAGGCTGGGTTGGATTGGCTCATTATGGGCCGAAGATATTATGGGCCTAGATAGGTTCGGTTGGGCCGGCCCATCATGGGCTTAGACGGGTTGGCTCAGCTTGACTTGGGCCATTATTTTTCATGGATCGTGTCGGGCCAGTCCATAGGCTGATATATATTGGCCCAACCTAACTCACTAATATTTATAATCTGGATCGTACCTTAAACAGTGATAAACTATGTCAGTCCGGTCTGTCAATGTGTCAAGATGGGCTTGGGTCGGCTCACGAGCCCCGGCCCATTTGTTGCATCTCTAACGATTATGTACAGCTAAGACTGGACAACAATAAACGGCAGGACAATAACTTTGAGAAAACGACAAAAAAAAACTCGTACAAGGTCGAAGAGACGACAAAAAGTGTAAAAGAGGAAAAAACAAAAACGACAATAAACATGATAACCGACAAAAATATTGTTTAGGCCTAGAAACGACATCACAAACGAGACCGTGAGAAGCCGTAAACGACAAAAAGTAATCAAACGATGATCCGAATCCGATAAGAGTAACAAAAAAAAAAATAAAAAAGATATAAAATCGTATAGATGCTAGAAATGACGACGAAAAAGTCGAAACGACAAATAAACTATAACAAGACGCAATCGTACAAAAACTTCCGCGGTATTTTGAACATTTTGCGACATTAATCTTACGATCTTATTTATTTATTTATTTATTTGCCCTTAAATAAGTGAACTAATAGGTGTCAGTTGCGATTAGAATTTCAGTATAACATGGTTTCTTCGTGTCCTTTTTTTTTTTTTTTTTTTTAAAAAAAAAAAAATCTTTGAGGCTTTCTTAACCAGGTCTGCAAGCTGCATATTTGTCTGCAACGTTTTGGGGCTTTCATTTATTTATCATTTTTTTTTTTTCAAATTCTAAACCCCAAAACAATGTCATTTCAAAGCTCAAACATATTTAACATTGTTAATGCTTTGGTCTAAATGACAATTCAGTGGGCATTTCATGCTTTGGTCTAACTTCCAAAACTACTTAATAACAGTTTTCTAACTTCCTAATTTATGTTTAAGGAAATAAAAAAGTAAATAAGAGATTTTAAAACTATTTATTTTTAAATAGCAGTTTACTTTACGATTAATAAAAAGATTTTTTTCACATAAATTTTTTTTCTAACCAATAAAAAAATTATTTTTACATGTAAATGAGAATTTTTTTACTACGTAAATTATTTTTTTTTTATTATAAATGAAATATTTACACAATAAATTATTATTTATTTTAAATAGTTTTAGAATATACTATTTACTTAATTTAGTTTCCTAAATCTACGGTTTACTACAATTTCCAACATTAAAATAAAAAAAATAAAAAAATTTTGCCCTGTACGGCTGTACTCGTTATGTTAGTTTAAGAGTGAGAACTGAGGCAACCCCCATAATATAGAACATTGCTAAAATTGTTTTTGAGTTGCTTCAGTATTCTCACCAATTGGAATGAATTGATCCAAAAGAACAACAATTAGACAATTAGGCATCAGACTGAGAAAGTAACAAGTAAAAGAGGTAATCCACTTCAGCTACCTATAAACATGTTTTATCTTCTTTTTTGCATATAATATTAGAAGTAATAAATAAGGAAAAAGATAAAGCGCAAGTTCAGTTTCTGTTAAATTTATGACCAAAAACATCATCATCCAGCAAGGCTAGACTAGAAGACATCAAAGAGGATAAAAAAAAATTAAAAGGAAAAAAAAAACAACCCTACAAAATATATGACATTGGATTCAAATTTCAAGATATTGAGTAAAAAAATAGTTCCAAAACTAAAACAAGAATCAACTTGAGAACACAACATCTTTTTTTTTTTAGCCCATCACTCAAAATGTTCTCACAAATTTGCTAACCAACTCAAAGTTTGCTCCTTTTTTTTAATTTATTTTTTTAATTTTCTCTCTTAAACATTACTCAATAATTTTTTGAATAACGCCTGCTCCGACCGTCTTCCCTCCTTCTCTGATAGCAAACCTCATTCCCTGTTCACAAGCCACAGGCACAATGAGCTCAACAACCATCTTCACACGGTCTCCCGGCATGACCATCTTCGACTCCTCATCCTTGTCGTTCATAATCGTGTTCACCTTCCCGGTGACATCCGTCGTCCTCATGTAGAATTGAGGTCTGTACCCCGCGAAGAACGGAGAATGCCGCCCGCCCTCCTCCTTCTTCAAAACGTACACAATTGCTTCAAACTTGGTATGAGGAGTAATAGTCCCGGGCTTAGCCAAAACCATCCCTCTCTGTATATCAGCCTTCTGAACCCCTCTCAACAACAAACCAACATTATCCCCAGCCATAGCGTCGTCCAGAATCTTCTGGAACATCTCAACCCCAGTAACGGTAGTGTTCCTAGTATCCTTCAAACCGACAATATCAACAGTATCTCCAACCTTAATTGTCCCTCTCTCAACCCTCCCAGTGGCAACAGTCCCACGACCAGTAATGGAGAAAACATCCTCAATAGCCAACAAAAAGGGCAAATCCGTTTGCCTTTGCGGAATTGGAATATAACTATCAACAGAATCCATAAGTTCGTAAATCTTATCAACCCATTGGTTCTCACCTCTTTTAATGGCGGGGTTGGCCATCAACGCCTCGAGAGCCAACAAAGCGGAGCCCGAGGTGATCGGAACGTCATCGCCGGGGAATTCGTAGGAAGAGAGAAGCTCACGAACCTCGAGCTCGACGAGCTGGAGAAGCTCCTCGTCGTCGACCTGGTCCTGTTTGTTGAGGAAAACGACCATGTTGGGAACACCCACTTGCTTGGCGAGGAGGATGTGCTCCTTGGTCTGGGGCATGGGGCCATCGGCGCCGGAGACGACTAGGATGGCGCCGTCCATCTGGGCGGCGCCGGTGATCATGTTCTTGACGTAGTCGGCGTGGCCGGGGCAGTCCACGTGGGCGTAGTGGCGGCTTTCCGTCTCGTACTCAACGGTGGCGGTGTTGATGGTGATGCCACGGGCGCGCTCCTCGGGGGCGGCGTCGATCTCGTCGTACTTCTTGGGGGCGCTGCCGCCCATGGAGGCGAGGGCCATGGTGAGGGCGGCGGTGAGAGTGGTCTTGCCGTGGTCGACGTGGCCGATGGTGCCGATGTTCACGTGGGGCTTCTTCCTCTCGAACTTCCCACGCGCCGCCTTGACGGTGAAGGAGTGGCGGCGGCGCGTGGGAGTGGTGGTGGTGCTGGTGGTGAGGAGGGTGAGGGGAGTGAAGGAGGAGGAAAGATGGGTAAGCTTGGAAGTTGTGCGGGTGGATAAGAAAGTGGTGGTTGAAATAGATGATGATAAAGAGGATTGAGTTTGAGGGTATATGAGTTTAGTGGAGGCTGAGGCTGAGGAGATTGCCATTGTTGAGATTTTGAGTTGGGTTAGAGAGAGAGAGAGATTGGAAATGGTGGGTTTGAGTTTGAGAGATCTGGGAGAGAGTAGAAGGGAGTGAGTCACTGAATGTTTAGTGTTATCTTTTGGGAGGTGAAAAGAGAGCCTCATATTTGCGGTGTTCCATTCTATCCATTTCTGTGCTGCCGAGTTTTGGAGAAAATAGTTGGCTCACAAGTTGGGGTATGGAGTTTCTGTGAAACAATATTTGGATGGTTACACGTGTAAGTTCTTTTGGGGTTTTTCTGTGGTGGGGATTGGAGGGCTTTAGTTTTTGATGTGGAGGCAGCTTGGCCTTTGAATTGTGAAACACTGTAAAGCAAGGAATCTTGGGTTACCATTCGAAGATTGATTAGGGGTCATTTTCTTTTCGATTTAATAGGAAGATGGTGCGAAGAAACACATGAAACAAGCATTAAAAAAGGAAAAAAAAAAAAAATCTCATGTTTTCCTCAATAACTTGAATGGTTATTATCCGTCTAATAAACAAGGACCTTAAAATGAAAACTAATTTCCACCTACTATCAGTGTCAAACTAGAGGAACTTAGAAGGTTCGCCATCTTCTTTTGTGGCTCAAATTGGAAATGAAATTGACTGATTGTGATTTGTACCGGTTGGGGTAACCCACAAAAGCCAATTTCCATGAGTTCCACGTATTTGATTCAGGTACTCAAGTTTTTGGAGAACATGGTTTTAAGTTTCCATATCCACCAGAGAACATTTAGTCATAAGAGCTCGCAATTTTGACTACCGTATTTATTTTACAATACGTTGTAATGAACTTATGGACGTTTCTGTTATTTATGTATATAGGTGTATTAATGTGTAGTCAAAAAATCCATGTCAATACTTGCAAAATTTTAGAGTTATGTTTTTGTCAAAGTGAACATAAAACTCAAGTTCACATCTCACAAATCATCCAAGTGAACACACAATTCAAGTTTCAAACACAATTCCAATTAAACTCACTTTTTTAACTCCAATCTTGAATTTGGAGTTATTGAAAAGAACGCAACCTGAATATCCAAAATGGCAATGTTACAAATTTTATAGTCCTCAAAATAAAGACAACAAAATAAATCCATTTGAAATCCATGTTAGATTCGACTATAAGATGGAACTATGCTTTTCCAAAGATAAAGAAAACGAATACTTCGACTTTTAAGAATGGCTGTTATTTGTAGAGTTTCTCATGGAGCACACGCATGCGGCTCCTATTGAAACAAAGAGAATCCGAAGCAAACTGGTATAACTGAAACAAAAGAGAATGAATAATTATCTGTACAATTATCTATAGACTCGTAAACTTTTGATGATTCGTGTGATACTGTACATGGCATGTGATCTGTATGTAAGGAATAGCTGAACTCATATTGTAGACGTAGTAGTTGAATTATCCGAATGATGTCTAACCTCAGTGGTAAGAATTCTTGTGATCCTTTGAGCTCAAATTTGACAGGAATGACTCTTCCAGGGCTATGACGTTGCTGCATAGTCTCCCAACAATATAGCAGCTAGATATATCATGTTTGACTTTCAAGTAAACATGGTTGATCACTCAAGAAGCATCCAAGCAGAGACCATTCAAAAACTAGTTACATCCTTCTTGATGTTGGCGACAGGTCAATAATGTATTCGAACTTTCCAAATGCATGGTATCTTCAGCCCTTCAAAGATGAGCCGTTTTTAAAACCTTTCATTGTTTCCTGTTGAAGGACGAAATCATCAATGTCGTCATGCACTTGAGTCAGAGACACAAGGACCATAAAGCACCATAAAGAAGCGCCACTTTTGCAAATTTTTGGTTTAGCTATGCATCTAGCTGTGCATTCTGTAGTCAGGAATCTTCACCTTACACATTTCTAAAACCTTTTGACGGGCTACTGGAGAAAGTTCCTTCAGAAGATCTGATATTGCTGATTCATGCTTGTTCTTGAGATCATGTAGCTCCTTTTGCTGCTTAACCAACAAAGTCTCAAGTCTCTCAGCAATGATCTCAACATCTTGTTCAATATCCTGCAATAAGTTACAGTTTCCTTCTCTGCTACTAGGACATATTTCTTCAGCGGCATCTTTCCCATCACTAGTTTGTGCATCAGTTGGTTCATCTGTTTCCTTCTCTTCATCGTCTTCAGTCAAGCTACTCCCAGTCCTGGCCAAATTTACCGGAGAAGACAAGTTTGAAGGACCGTGTGTAACTGGCGAATTTCCGCTGACTCCCTTGGGTGAGTCGGACCAATACTTACGCCCTGAAGGCAATCTTTCCAAAGAAAGTGTTTTCAAAGGGCTACAATCATTTGCCAAGGGGGAAGAACCATCCCTAATTTCAGAGGCACTATCAGAAATTGGAATATCTTCATCAGAATTATCTCTAGAAAGATATTCGGGCGTCCATTCAGGAAAATTGTGTCGAATTTCAGATTCAATCATGTCGGCTATTGTTGAGACATCTTGATCTGTCAGGTCCAACTCCTCAACCATTTCACTAGCAACTGAAATTGGTGTATCAGCCTCTATCTCAAATGGAAAGTGGATATTTCGAACATGACCTGGGTCCCCAAGAAAAAAAAAATTATTATTTTGCGCCCAATAAATAGACCTTACCTGAAATTAAATGAACTGAGAAAAATAGGAAACTAACCTGAAGAGTTGGCTATTCGTAGTTTCAGATATATTTTATTAACATCTTTCCTTTGACCTTCCACTGTGAAGTCTCTACTTCCCTCAGCAGAAAAATCCTTCCGTGTTGTCCCACTATCAACCTGATCATGACTGCCTTCTGCATTTGACTTGTCAGAATCGGTAGCTAAGTTATGACTTCTGACGAGAACAGAACGAGATATGCTTTCATCTGCATCTGATCGGAGAAACGGATCCATTAGAAGTTCCTTAGCAGGCAACCTATCCGAGACTTTTGCAATACATTTTTCTATAAAATTTCTAACTTCGGGATCTGTCACTTTTGCCAATGACGCTGGCTTTATTCCCTAGACAAGAGAAAAACAAGTTTAAGGGCAACAAAAAAGACGAAGAAAAACATTCTAATGCAAAGTTATAGATGATTGCAGCAATTGATACTTGATGAACATAGCAAGGAATTTCAACAAGGATAAGATGTAAACGCAACCTGTGTTGCTAATATTGCAAAATCCCCAGCACAACAAAATTTTTCAAAATCGTTCACTCACTTTTTCTTTTTTCCTCACCAAAATCTAGAAATCAATGAGCTTTAAAAAATCATGCAAAGAAATTCCATTCAAAGGTTAAGTCTTTCTATAAAATTGAAGATGAATACTTACAAAAAGAAAATACAAAAATCAACAATTTTGAACATGTAACTTTAACACATAAAATTATCACAAGAAAAAAAAAAAAAAAAAAAAAAAAAAAAAAAAAAAAAAAAGGAAAACTGCATGGTAAATCAATTATCAGATGACCAACATGTGAAGCCCTTACTGATGTCACTTTCTTATATATTTGAGCGGCATTGGCACATTCAACATATGGATACTCAAACGTGACCAACTCCAGCAAACACAAGCCAAAAGCATATATATCTACAAGCTCATTGTATTCCTCTTCGTAAAGCTCAGGAGCCATGAACTCCGGAGTACCTAAATCACAATAACCACGATGCTCTCACTCCAATAACCACAGGCCACAGAAGAAAAAAAATAATGGAACAAAACAATGCTAACCAATAACACTGTGAGCCAAACGAGCCTGACGGAGAATGGCAGCCAGTCCTAAGTCACCAATCTTCACCTCACCTTGGTTGCCATTAACAAAAATGTTGTCACACTTGAGATCTCGATGAATGACCGGCGGGTCGTGACTGTGAAGATACAAGAGCCCTTCTAAGATCTGCCTAGACCATTTCTTCAGCGCCCTTAAATCGACATTCTTATGTTTCGTACGGTATCTAAGTAAAAAACCAATCTTAACGTGATCAATAAGAAATTCAAATCACTCTAAACACGACTAGAAAAAGAAATTTTAAGACTTACTGCCGTAAAGTTCCAGAGGTGAAAATCTCCGTGATAATGTTAATATTCTCGTTTTTGGTATCGACCCAAGAATTGTAGAACTTTATGATGTTCTTGTGCTTCAAAGTCTTGAGCAGATGAACTTCAGCGTAAAGGCGTTCTATATCTTCCGAGTGGCGCAATAGATCTGCCAGCTTAACCTGATTCCAAGCTACTTCAATGCCTTCCAATTCGTCAAATGCCCGATATCTTAAATTCCGAAATTTCGATCAAAGAAACACATTTCTCCAAAAAAAATTGGGCATCAAGCACATAATTTACGCGTAATGTTCCATTAAAATTCACCGACTCCTATATATATTATTCTTTATTATTCACAATTCACTAATAAACTAACAACATAAAAGAGCCCAAAAGGATACACTTTTTTGAAAGCGCCCCTTCCTAAAACCTCTTTATACTGGCCAAAAAAAAAAGTACAACCAGAAACTCAATATAAATAAACCCAAAAATTAAAATTTCTCGGAAACAATTAAAAGAAACGGAATTTCACTACTTAACACTAAATTAGACAAATTGATTACTGTTTAATTGAGTTCATTAGCTAATAAACAAATTAAAACGAAATTTATTTAACTTTTTAATTAAGAAGAAAAAAGGGACAAAAGTATATTAAAACACTAACCCGACCGTAGCGACCAGTGGGATCGACCTCAACAAACCCGGCATCAGAGTCGTCTGGTTCTTGCTCGGACGACGAATCCAACGGCATTCTCGCTCTTCCTAAAGCACAAATAAAAAAAATAAAAAAAAGCCTAAATTTTCGCAAAATGAATACCAAACACGCGTAAAGCTCAATCAATCGACTCCATTACTTGCGTCGTACGTTACAGAAGCGAATCGAGAGTAGAACCAGAGAATTCTCAGGTC